TTGAGTTTTATTTTTTGCTCAGAAAATAAAACTTAATTTTTGCGTATGCGTATGCGCTTTTCTGCACTTTTTCTTAAGAAATGTGGTTCTCTTTGTTTCTGCCCTGGTATCTGTATTTTCATTACCCACTCCACAGTGGCGTAAAGGTTCAATGCTGCCGCCCCCTGTCTATTCACGCATGCGCATGCGCATACGCAAAAATTAAGTTTTATTTTCTGAGCAAAAAATAAAACTCAAGAAATAACGATTATTTTCCGAGCAAAAAATAAAACTTAAAACGTAACGATTATTTTCCGAGCAAAAAATAAAACTTAAAACGTAACGATTATTCTCCGAGCAAAAAATAAAACTTAAAACGTAACCATTATTTTCCGAGCAAAAAATAAAACTTAAAACGTAATCATTATTTCCCGAGCAAAAAATAAAACTCAAAACATAACGATTACTTTCTGAGTAAAAAATAAAACTCAAAATATAATGATTAAACTTGATTTTTATAAGTAAAAGTTAAAAAATAAAAATCAGTGCCGCTGAAGGTACTCCGAGTAATAAGAAATATATTGGTTTACTCCTTATGCACGTAGCATTTCTCTTTCCGCGTGATTTTTTGAGTTGAAATTTGAAAGGATAATCGTTATTTGCGGTCCCTGGTTATGCTACATATGTTATTTAATCTTATGTTATGGTATGTTATGTTATGCTAAGTACTAAGCTTACTTATTTCAGCTCAACTCAACTCACATAAACTATCCTTAATTTCAGCGGTTGAATTTCAACCGCTGGGCGAAAACTAGTATATATAATTTTTCGCACTTACCAGTAAATATATTCACGGTCGAGGCCTGAGCAAAACCAGTAGCAGGCTCCTTGAATAAAAATGAAAGCAAATACGTAAACGGTAGCACAGCAAATCCGAATAATATCAATACGAGGAAATAACGCACTGCAACAAGGAATTAAAATCTTAGAATACGGTCATAACTTTAACTATTATTTATATTTACTCAAGTCCGAGAAGTTTGAATATCCATCCTCTTGAAAGCAAGCCAAAGTTGCGATCACAATCAGAGCGGTTATTGCATAGGTAGTCATATCCCATAGCAGTTGTGTTAGCCAGAAAGTCCACACACGTACGCCACCCACAAATTGAAGCAATTTTGAACGCGTTTCACGTTCCTTAATCAGGAAGAGAATATAAAAGGCACTTACGAAGCACATGCAGAAGCCAACGTTGGTAGCCAACTGAGTGCCCACATTTGTGCCAACGTTCAATTGTGCGAGCTTGGTTTCGAATGAGTAGGGCAGCGGATAGTTAGTGACGCTTATTGAGGCTTCAGGTCCAATGAGAGCTCTAAAGTATAAGAAATTTGTATATTATAAAACTGCGATTGATAGAAATAAACACGTATTCATACTTCGCCATGGCGTTGTGTACAAGATTCACGGTCAGTGGTGCCGTATGCAAAGGCTGATTATTTAACCATGCCGTTATTTTGCCATCTTCCACTGTAGCTGCTGCCATGTAACGGGCGTTGATGCGCACTTGTTCAGTCTGGCCCAAATCCAAAATGTATTCGGTAAAATTGAGTTCGCCCGTCGTTTGCAACTGGTGATTGGGCCCATAGGAACCTGAGATCATTTTGTACTCAGCTACAATGCGTTCTTCCAGAGAACCTGGGGCCACATTACTGGCCGTTTCAAGAACTGTAAAGGTTTTAGGATACTGCGTGACACTCATTGTTATGGCTGGAAGTGGGCGGAAAGTGCTTGCGTTGCGCGAGATCAAAATGGTGATGACCACAAAGAAGATGGGCAAAAGATTTTGGATGACGAATAAAATTTTTTTACGCAGTGTGTAGAGGAACTTTTTGAGGAGCATTGCATGCCACTGATTGCAAAATAGTTCTTTGCCCCTTAGTAACCTTGTATTCTCCGAAAACATGCTGTCTGCTATTGAAGAAATCAATAAAATAAATTACATATTTTTTATTTAACTTAATTGTCATAAATTAGTTGACTTACAGTTCATAGATTCGACATCTTCGTCATTGAAACCACTTCCGCCATTCATCATGGCCATTTGCTCTTTCCTCGTGCCGTTGCTAGAATTTTCAGCACCCACTTTCATGAATACCTCCTCCATTGACGTAATACCTACACCATAACCACCCAACAGTAAATTCTCAGAATTCGTTTCCAAATCGCCAAACATCTTCTCGAACTTTGCTGAGTATTTATCTGGTAATTGATAAGACAATTCAGCGCCAATATCTGCCTCAGGTCTTATACCTGGTATGTATTTATTGAGCAACGCTGTCACTTCATCTGCATTGCAGCCCTCGCGTTTTACGCAAATCAAATGATAACCAGAGCCATATTTCTTCTTCAAGAAGAATGATGTACCGTGGCACATAAGTTCCCCATCGCACATTATAGCAATACGATCGCCGAGTACATCCGCTTCGTCCATAAAATGGGTTGTCAACAGTAGAGTACGTCCGATCTTCTCCGACTGTAACAAGTCCCACAGTTGACGTCTGGCGGCGGGATCCATACCAGAGCTGGGTTCATCGCAAAGTACCACTTTTGTGCCACCACAAAGCGCACAGCAAACTGATAGTTTGCGCTTCATGCCACCAGATAATTTCGAGGATGCCACATTTGCTTTGTCCTCCAATTCGATCATTCGCAGGTACTTTTCCACTTCATCTTTTATGTCATTACCTCTGAGTCCCTTCAAACGGCTGAAGAAGACTATGTGATTCGCAACGCTCATATCGTCGAATAGCACATTGTGCTGTGGACAGATGCCGAGCGACATGCGCGCTCCCTCAATATTTGTACGTATATCACTTCCATTAAGTATTGCCGTACCAGCAGTTGGTGGAAACATTCCAGTCAGCATAGAAATTGTGGTCGTTTTACCAGCGCCATTATGCCCCAACAATACTGTTATCTCGTCTTCGTACATATTCACCGATAAGCCTTTTACCGCATATTTTTCGCCAAAACGTTTCTTTAAATTTTTAACTTGTAGGCCAATATGTTTTCCAGCAGGTTCGGCTTCGAAAGCATCGGGGTTTTTACGTTCAATCGAACCGTTCGACATATCTTCAATACCAGCATATTCCTTTTGCCCACACCAAAAGCTTGGAGTGAAGGGGAAGTTCCACTTCTTCGGTACACCAAAATCTCCAGGCATAATTTGCTCTACATACAAGCAGATAATCATATAAAGTACCGAGGCGGCCAACATCATCAGCATAATTGCGCCAACTGTGAGGTTAGAATCCACCGAAACTGGTGTAAACAAATTGCTCCATTGTAAACCCTCTCCATTGCCTTCAAAGCCGAGTATTTCTTTGAAGCCAAAGCCCATAGCAGTATTAGAGAATAAACACCAACTCAACTTCGAACGCAGTGACATTTGCTCGTACGTTTTAACGGTAAAAGATAAAGGCAAATAGGTAATGAACCAGACGAGACCAGTAACAGCGGCTGCAGTGCTAGCGCTTGAGAAGAACGTGGCCATCATGAAGCAAAAGCAGATACTAGCTATGGTGTATATAAGCATGAAAACAAGAAGAATGGACCAGTTGCTGTAGGTGAGCACAGCGACGCCGTCAAACCATTTAATCTATACCGGCAATGAAAATGCAGGCATATGTGGTATAAGAATAAGCTTTTAATATGTATTTTACGGAATTTCGCAGTTACCTTAACCAAGATTATAATCAGCGCAGAGGAAATACCCAACATTATGAATGATTTCACAAACCAAGCCGTCCAGTGCAGCCAGTTGTCAAGGCCCATAATTTTCATCACTTCTTTCAATTGTTTCTCCTTTTCGACGGTAATGCTCTTTGAAATTTAAATGGCAATAGATATTAGATATATTTTAAATATTAATTTTATTAATAAAGTACAAATTTGTATTTTTACTAAACTACAGGGAGTATGGCACCTTTCGCCTGTGCCGTAAGCCAAAATGCTATATATAATTGAAATAAGGGAAATCTTAGGGCCTAGAAATTGCAACCAAATCGGTTAGTTACCAAGGGGAATAAATCAACCTCTTTCCGATGTGTTATTTTCACTCTCTTATAAAGTGTCCACATGGTGGTCACAAGAGCCCATTTTTAATACCTAAGAGAAGATTTTCTCTGGGCTATCTCCTGCTGTTAGTGGCCTTTTTTCTCAACTTTTATTTCCTATCTACTTTCTCTGAAGAGTCCTACGTCCTGCGACTCTCTATAGATTGACGATGTGCTTCCTAAGAAATTGTAGCTGTAGTATCGAGTACCGACTCAAGGCCTTTTATCGTAGGCTTTCACCTAAAAGACAAACAAAATTTCAAACTGATTTCCGTGCTGAGGCGCAGAAATGGATACTAATATCCTGTTTGAACAAGTAAGAAAGTCTAAGTTCGGGCGGAGCCGAACATTAAATACCCGGCGCAAATATTAAAATATGATTTTCACCTTTCCGAAAGCTACCGCTACATGGTAAGCCGGGGTGTATCAATTTTGAGTAAATTAGCGTCCGTAAATTTCAAAATGTTTCAAGCATTTCTAAAATTTACCGTTATATGAAAAGCCATAATTTTAGTCCGATTTCAATAATTTTCATCGTTTTGCTTTTATGTAGCAAGCACAATAAAAATACCGAGTTTGGTACAAATTGGTAGAACGGTTACCGAGATACATATATGTGATCATAAGTGGGCGGTGCCACGCCCATTTTTCAAAATCTTATTATAGACGTATTTCCTGGTAAGGAATTGTTGCAAGCATCAATTTTGAATAAATTGGCTTTAATATTTACTGATTCGTATTTCTCCAAATTACCGTTATATGAGATGTGGGCGTGGTTATTGTCCGATTTTGAAAATTTTCGGCCATTTGGTATCCTGTACCAAGGCCAATAACTGTGCCAAGTTTGGAAGAAATCGGTACAGCGGTTGCCAAGATATACACATGTAACCATAAGTGGGCGTGGCTACGCCCATTTTTCAAAAACTTATAACATTCTTATTTTTCGTCTAAAAATTATTGTAAATATCAATTTTGAATAATCTTCATTAGTTACTAAAATATCGCAGTTTTCGTATTTCTGAAAATTACCGTTATATGGGAGGTAGGCGTGGTTATGGTCCGATTTTGCCCATTTTCAATACCATCCGTCCTACGCCCAAAAGAAGTACACGTACCAAGTTTCGTTAAGATATCTTAATTTTTACTCGAGTTATCGTGTGCACAGACGGACGGACAGACGGACGGACGGACGGACAGACGGACGGACGGACGGACGGACGGACAGACGGACGGACGGACGGACAGACAGTCACCGCTTAATCGATTTCTCTTTTCATCCTGATCATTTATGTATACATTTGTGTATATCTACCTCGATTCGTTTTGCCTGTTACAAACAACCGTTATGTGAACAAAGTTATAATACCCTTGTGCACAAGTGCGCTCGGGTATAAAAAGTTATACACTGCTTTAAGAGCCTAGTTTTGTTATAAGCATATAAAGATCATGAGTTCATAGTAACGTAGGCTTAATTGTAAGAGCCTTTAGCTCAAATAATTAGTTGGTGGCAATAGAACCAGCTGAAATTTTTTAGGTAAGCCGGATTCAAACATATGTATATGTATGTATGTATGTATGTATGTATGTATGTATGTATGTATTATTTTACTGCACTAAGTATTGCAAAAGCTCTAATTGACGCCATCCAGACCGAGTTTAATGTCGGCCTATTAGCCATCTGTGAAGAAAATTTTTTACCCCAATTTCTTAAAACATATTTTGGATGTCTATATTGTTATGTGGTTAGATATATTGTACTGCGGCTAGCTGACGACATATTTCCTCTGAAAGAGACAACTGAACAAGGTTACAAATGTGATGTATATTAGAATTGCACACCAAATTAAACTAGCTCTGGAATTGGCAAGGAAGAGTTTGAATAACTGGGCTTCTAACCAATCCGGGGTCCCGGGATCCCGGTCTTTTTTAAGTTCCGGTCTAGGCAAATAATCCCGGGATTTTCGGGATTTGTAATTTACACTGGTGGCAATAATAGCATATGTTGACTAGTTTTGGCTATATTTCTTTTGTTTATTTAATATTTAACATTTTTTTTATAAATGTGTAGCTCAATGTACATATAATACCTTGCGGCAGGCAATTTTGCGCACAAAAAAGGAATCAATCCAAACTAAGGGCCAAATATATTAAATTGCGTTCTTAATTTTTCTCTCTGATGTCAGGAGTTTTTAAAAGAACTTTGAAATTTGAAAGATACGAGTAATTCAAAAAATTATTTAAAAATTTCAGTGCGATATACTTAAAAAAACCAGTATGGGTATCAAATGAAAGAGAAGATTCTGTTTAAGCACATTACATTTTTTAGTGCGTAAGGGACGGGTACAGGTATTGAAAATACCCTTTTATAATTTTATGCTTGAATATCCTTCAAATTTTTCCATTCTTATTTTTGGAAAAATTATATGTTAAGGACTAACTTTATTAGCTTAAAAAAATAAAATAGATTAAAGGGGCATTTTCAATTCATATTCGTCCTTGTGAACCCAAAAAAATTATTTCATTTGGTACCCATACTTTTGTTTTACATTGCACTGAATTTTTTGGAATAAATTTTGGAATTAACCATATTTTTGAAGTTATAACGAGCCCTAACCGCCAAAATAACGTAAGCGAAAATATTCGTTGTGATGCAGAAATGCATCTAGCGGCTGTTGGAATATTTCTGCATCAAAAAAAAAAAAATGTCGCTTACGTTATTTTGGCGGTTAGAGCTCGATAAAGTCTTTTTAAAAAATCATGACGTCAGAGAAATGCCCATTTGTATGCAGTTAATTATGTGTAATGTGAGGTAGACTTTTATAAAAAATGTAAATTTTGAATAGACAAAAGGAATATAGACAAAACTGGTCGAATTAAGGCGCTTCTTTTATTTCTGCCACTAGTATTATGAACATCTTTCTTCTGAATTAATTTTTTTTGCATCGAGCTTTTTTCGACGTACCTTAAATTACTTTATCACACACACTAAAGTATTATTAAAGGCATATAAATTTGATTACTGTCTTTCGTTTTCTTACATATGAAATAATTTTCACTTTAAATAAAAGTACGTTCCAAACCCATTTACTTATTATTTGTTATATGGTAGGAGAGCTTCTCAAACCCGGGATCCCGGGATTGAACCCAAGACATCCCGAAAGTCCCGGGATCGTAAATATCGAAAAAATTAACATCCCAAATCTATATCTACATACATATCGTCGCTGCGCCAACAAGTTATGTGTTTTATAATAACTTTTCAGGAGAGCAAAATAATTGATTCCTGGTGCCAATAGGCAATATTTTGAAAATATTGTATTAAAAAAAAAAATTCATTAAAAATGTGATGTTGATTTGTGAAAAAAAAAAAAAATTTTGGACCAATTACGACGTGATCAACATTTGCGCCGCTTTAAAGCACATAGCTGTTTTTATAAACGATTTAAATTTGCTTTTGGCGGTATGGAATCGTATGCAATTTGTACATAATACTGCCGTTAGGCCTAGATGCAATGTATAGAAGTTCAGGACTCGATTAGTTAACTGCCCGTTGCTCCTAACTGTGCCTTAGACGGTCCCAAGCCCGGTTTCGAGAAAACAGGAGGGAAGACAGGGGGCTTTGGTATTTCCAGGGTACGGGCTTGACAACCCCGTCTACCCCAGTTAAAGGCTACCAGTCCTGAGTCGGTGGAGGCTCAACTGGAAGAAGTCTACGGCTTTCGAGAGTCATACCAAAGACTTTAAAAATGGTGCCACGGGGAACAGATGCCCCCGGAGTGTGTTCGTCGGCGAGACGAGCAAAACTGGTGACACAAGCAAGGCTGGCAAGGCAAACACTGGCATGGCTTACACGACTAGAAAATGGTGAAAATAAGTTGTAATTGGAGGAAATGTGTGGTGGAAACCGTTGAAAAAGTTGTGCGCAAGTTGAGCAATTCGATCCGTTGCGAAAGCTGAGCGAGTGGTGTCACCGCTCCTGGATGTGGAGGGTGCCCACGAGCGAGGCGAGTAGGACGTGTGAGATGAGCAAGATGGAGCAAGATGGTGAATGTGTGTCGAGCAACTCGATCGGTCGAAAGTTAAGCGAGTGGTGTCACCGCTCCTGGATGTGGAGGGTGCCCACGAGCGAGGCGAGTAGGACGTGTGAGGCGAGCAAGACGGAGTATGAATGTGGAGTGAAGTAGTCGTGTAAGTCGTTCTAGTGTGAGCTGAGTCAGTTAAGTGGGTCAGGGTGAGTTGAGCCAGTCCAGCAAATCTCGCCGACGAGCATTACTCCGGTCTGTTCATGGGTACGGCCCCTTTGGGGAGTATCGTGGTGGCTGTGGTTTAATACCTTAATGCGGATAGAACCAGCAATGGTTCAATGTGGAGTTGCATTGCAACCGGATGTCGTGATCCAGAGAACGTCAGAGGTTTAGGTAGGCCTCGGCCCTACCAAGGTGGTAAGTGTGTCCACCACATACTGCCAATTGGTACTGAAGTGCTTGCAGTTCAGGGCAGTGATTAATGCAAAAATTAATCCGTTGCACGATTGAGAGAATACAAAGGTTGCGCCGATCTCGGACCGCTATTCCTCTCTTAACGAATTTGACAGAATCGCTGTTTGCATGACGTCACACTGGTGCAACTTGTTTACGTTTTCCTTGCAACATTTTTTCTTCTTCTTCCATTCTTGCTCACGTTTTGGCATTTCTCTCTCGCAATTGCACCAGTGTGACGTCACACACAAGTTATTCTCAAAAATCCTCTCCGATCGGCGCAATCTTGTATTCTATCATTCTTGAATCCGTTGTGCCTAATGCGGGCACCGTGATTAAAGCCTTTGGCAGATAATCACGTAAAGCCTACATGAAATCTGCCCGTTGCTCCTGTTATGTAATGAAAAATGGTCAGAAACGTTTTTATTGAATTTTTGTAATAAAAATTTATGCAAAGTGGTGAGTGAACACATATTTTGTACAAACCATGTAATTGCCAAAGATGTCAACTGTTTTTCGGTCAGCGTATTAATTTGACCCAATGCACTTTTTCAAAGTTTCGATGGGTGATATCCAATGAAACTTCGTATATATGTACAAGAAATAATTTCAATATACATAAATATAATTGAATTTTTATTAAATGCTTTCACATTTGTATACAATATGCAAATTTGCATAAATTGCATAAAAATGTAAAACTAAGTATTTATCGAGATAGATTATCATAAAACGAATGGAAA